GACTGACATTGACGTTTTCCTTCCTTTCCCTTTCCTTCAAACACATTATAATATTCAGAAAGTGCTGCAAAAAAAACCCCTTTTCTTTCCTTCACAATTTCAGCGATTGCCGGATAAAGTTATGCCGCAGGCTTGCTCGTCCACTTCAATATGCACCAGCTGACAACAGTTAGTTAACTAAAATTACAATGTAGACACTTATCACTGCTCGTGTCTGTTAAAAAGGATAGGAATAAAAGTCATCACGACAATGTAATAACAGATTTAAAAACCTGCTGGTGGTAAAATACACAAACCTGTTATGCCCAAGTAAAATAATAAGAGATTAAAATAATATCTGAAGATGTCTTTTAGCTCTAGACTAGGAAGACTTGTTTGTTAAAGGCTGGCTGGTGTGAGACAACTGACTGAAAGGAAATATTGCTACACTTACTGGAAAAGAAAGAGTATCAGAAACATCCTGGAAAACTGGAAGGTTTGCAGCATGTTTTGTTTTTGCTAAAGACTCAAAGGGTGAGGTCAAGGGTAAAATCTGTATTCAACAGACTAAACCAAATTTTTTTTGAACATGATGTTACTTGTGATAGCTTTGTGCAACAAGAGACTTGGCTTGGAGCAAACAGAGTCAGGCTTCCTAACGATAGAGTGCAGAGGAGGTACAGAGTGTGTGTTTAAGTACGTGTGTGTGTGATTTGGAATAGGAAGTGGTGCATCCATATGAGGTGTAAGAAGTAGCCTCCGGGAAGGGTGCGTGTGTAGAACGAGGGTGTGAAGCTGCATCAATACTTGTTGCTGGAGTCCTTAGCAAAGCGGCTGGCATAGGCTTCATAGATGGAGTCCAGGAATGAGCTGTCGTTCTGAAATACACAAGCAGGCAACTTCATACAAAATCCTCAAGTGTGTGTGTTTGTTTTTGCTTATTCTCTGTTTTTCTCTTTGCAAACAAAACAACTGCACTGATTTGGCTACAACGTGAGCACAACAACTGGACAGCGAGCCCCGTTGTGAAGCCATAATAGACCACAAACTTTAAGGAATAATCACCTGTATCAGATGCAGCAGTGTGGCTTGAAGCTGACTTCTGGAAAGGATTCTGACCTCCTCCTGCAGAGGGGGTCTGGGCACAGTTGAGGGTGTGTGGGAGCTCTCCTGACCAACTGCAGACAACCCACTGCTAGGCTTTGTCTGAGTGAACATACTCGGGGAAAGGAGCAGATTTGGGGCAACAGTGGCTGGTATCCTCTGAGGCGAGATCACCTACACAGACAGGGAGCACTGTACTGTTGCAGCTATCAAGTCACCAATTTAACTAGCATTTGCCATTTGCTCTGTTTATATAATTGATAAAATCAACTACTAACTGTTTACACTGGGCTTTACCTGTAACTGCAGCGCAGCTTTCTGACCTGCAGTGGCTACAGTTGGGTTTGGAATTGTGCCTAAAATCACGCATGCACCCTGGTTTTGGGCTGGCCCCAGGAATCGAGGAGCCAGTCCTGGACAGATCCGAGGTGGCTCACTAGAGGCCAGGCTCTGCTCCTGCTGGACCAACTGGAGCTTTTGGAGGAGCTCATGAGGTGACACCATACCTGGCACGTGAGACAATCCTGACGAGAAAGCACGAAGGTACCAAAAACAAGAATTACTTTTAATGAGCAGCTAAACAGGTGCACCTAATGAAGTGGTTGGTGAGTGCACTCTACAGTAAATCATTTCCAAAAGTGTGGATTTCCGTGCATTGTGCATGCATGTACATGTATGAGCTCCAGTCCTGTGGGAAACACTGCAATGGAACTTACTACAGATAATGTGTCTTGTAACTGGGAAAAAAAATAGTTCCTCCGCAGTTTCTTAATTTAACTACTGTTTATATGTAGTTTCAAATTATTGGAAAAACTGGTTAGAGCTTCAGTAACGATCGGCTTAAGTTTGTGCACAACACTAAAACCCTGCTAGTTAGCGACTGCAAACAATAAAAAACTTGAATACTATACCTTGTGAAGGTTGAATGACTTGATTACTGGTCACCTGAGATGACAACAAACCTGGTAAAGCAAGGAGAATCCCATTAAAACTATAGAAAAGTTATTCTTCCCATAGTTTATTAGCATTGTAATTATAAAAATGTATGTAGCACACTGATTCAGTACAGGGTTAGCTTGTTTGTTTGTGAACACTTAACACAAAAGATTTTCCCACCTGTTCCCTGTGCAGCTGGAGCAGTCTGGCTGTTTTGCTTAATTTCAGGTTGAGAATTGGACAAGCTGATAAACAGCTGCTGGCTTTGTTGTGCTTGAAGGTGAGAGCGTGACACAGAATTCACCATTACAGGCTGGGAGGAGAGATGAGGGTTCTGCTGTAGAGAGGAAGGGTTGGAGCAACAATTAGGGGCCGCAGAGGAGAAAGAGGTGGTGGGTAGAGGAGGTGGTTGGGTTTGGAAAAGTCTCCTGATTGGATCAGGATGAAGCTGATGCTGGTGATGGTGTTGTTGTTGCTGATGGTGGTAAAGATGATGGTGGTGGTGGTGATGCTCCAGCGGCACCCCGTTGTCACACAGCCGGTTCTCGGGGGACTCGGACACGGTCTGAAGCACCCCTCCCACAGTCCCGACACCTCTCTGTCCCTGCATGAGCTTTGCGATGGCCGGGCAGTGCTGCTGCTGGTGAGCGCTTGAGGGACTCTGCAACAAGCCAGAAACAACATTTGCTCCATCTTCCACAGCCTTGATTCCTCCATCAGAGGCCACATTTCTGCCAGAGTTCACTGTATCATCGTAGGTGAGTGTGCGAGCTACAGGCGGGCGAGATACTTTTCCCGCTGATGATCCCAGTGCTGGAGCATTTGCAAAAGGGTCAGAGTCAGGTTTAGTTGAACGTTGCTGAGAGCCAAACAGAGTAGCCAAAGAAAGAGACTTGGGCTCAGCACCTTCATTGTCCTAGATGAGAGAAGCACAGTAGAATAAGAAAGATGATGAGTTAGAGGCACAAACAGAAACAACACTAGCAGGGTTTTATACACAACAATGGAAGAAAACCATTACAAACTCTCTTTTGTACATGAAAAATGTGATTTTAACAGGGTTAAACTGGGTGTTCTACCTGAGTGTTTGGTTTAACGGGTATTGGTTTAATCAGGTGGGGGTTTCCATAAAGAACACTGCTGCCACCAATCTCCTTTGGCTCTGAGGTTGATTTTTCCTAAGACAGGTGCACAGAGAGAATAGACAAAGGACAGACAATTAACAAAATAAGTAAATAAATACATAAAAACTATATCACAAAAATTGCCAAAAAAGTAGATTACTATAAGTGACTAACTGAGGATCCTAGAAAATACTCCCTGCATCCTATAGGTCTAAATGAACAAATGTAAATGCAAAGATTATTAGGGCTTAGCTATTCCCAGCATTTTAATCTGTGTTGTTCTAATTGTTTTATTCTCTTCAAAATCCTACAGTGTGCACATACCTTATCATACTCTGTGCGGGCTTTGGTTAACATCTGGATGATGTCCACTCCCTTTGCTTCACCTTTTCCCCCTCCCCCTGCTCTTACTTCTCCTGGGGATAACCAACCACCCTGGGACTGAGCCAGGACCTGCTCCTGCTGGGTCAGACTGCACACATGAATAAAAGAGTCTTCTGTCAAGCTTTGGCAGCTGGTCCATAACTCATTAGTCATTTTTAAGCACACCAAATCTTGTTTTGAAGATCATCCAATTACAGTTACTTACATCTTCATCCTCTGGGCGATGCGCTGACAGTCCTCCTTATCATAGAACCAAATCCCATGGATTGCCACTGGGGAAGAAGACAGAATTGAACTTTTGAGCACATTACATTAACAAAAATCCAGCAAATTATTTGCAGTAATGACCCTGTTGAAAATCTAGTTAGCTTGGTGTAATAATAAAACTGTCTGCTCAGTCCAGGTCAGCAGACAACAAAATGAGTTTCCCAGACAATTGAATGAATGTGTAGCCATGCTGTAGCACAATTTTGCTGCAATGACGTCAGTGCAGACCTAACAGATAGATAAACTGTTTATTATTAGCCCTGGTGGGTATAACCCCAGGGTTTAAAATGAGTCATTTCCCAGCCAAGCCAATAGGAACAAAAGCCAGCGATGCAATTATACAATGAAACATGGGCCCCAGGAGTGCCCTGATCTACGTAAACACGGTCAGCAAGGGAGGAAAAAGACACTTGCCCAGTTTTGTAGATGGGATGAACTATTTTACAAAGTGATTAATTTTACTGTTTGCATTTGTGCTTTCTTTTGAAAAATTTATCGTTGTTGCATAACCACTTAATTGCAGCCACTAAGGAAGGGCTTAGAATTTTGCATGGAAAAAATTAATTTCCCGTGATGTTCTAAAGAAGCCCAGATCCTGAAGTCGTTGAACTTTTTCCTTTATCAACTTGGATGTTCAACCTGCATGACAAGTTTATCAAATGAGAAGACATGTGAGTGGAGGGCTCTAGCAATACTCATGGTGCTACTCTGCCCAAGACAAAAACAACTTTGCTGCTGTTTGTTGATGTCTGGGGAAGATCCCAATCCCCAAAAAGAAAAGAGGCAAAGAGTAAAATATATGAGAGTAAATTAAGTACAGAGAAAAACTTAAGTAACGCAAAGATAAGTAAATAAGGTAAAAAAAAAAAAAAAGAACAATCAGTGGGGTCTATACCATGACTAAGTTCTTATGTAATCCAATTGAATACAAGACACATTCCCACACACACACACAGACATGAACAAAAATACACACCCACTTGGCTACAAATGGGGCTGGGTAAGGCATCGAGGTCAAAGTGGATGAGGGGAACAGACAGAGAGGGAGAGGCTGAGACACATACGTACACAGAGAGTTCAGTTGAGCCTGGGAAAATAAGCCCAGGACCAAATAAGTAACTGCAGTGGGAGGCTGACTGGTGGAGCCAGAGCCACTTAGTGCTCAGTGTGCTCACAGGGGATGAGACTATTCGACAGAGACGGAGAGAGACACGGTGAAAGTCTGACAGCTGGAAAATGGAGGAAAAATGAGCAAGATGAATGGAAAGAAGTGAAGTGTGTTACAGGGGAGATCGTTAAGCACATCAAAATAGAAACATGTCAGTGAATACTAAAAAGAACCTGTGACATTTCAGACATTAGACACTCCATTTGGCCAGCATGTTGCTCTCTCTCAGTCTCAAAGAAAGGGAGAAGAAGATAAGATAAAAGATGTGCATGTGCTTTTAAAATAGAAGACTTCCACACCAACAGGACCTGTAGAAACTATATCAACAAGATAGGAAAGAGAAAAAAAGAGTGAGGGCGATAGAGCGATACAGAGAGAGAGCGAGCGAGAGAGCCGAAAAGTGGTTGTGGCCATAAGGTTACAAATTCGAGAGGGAGAAAGAGAGAGCTCCACTCGACACTGGAAATTGAAAGAGAAAGACAGAGGGGTTTTTGAAATGTATGCCTCGAGCAAAGGACCAAACCAACTCGACCGGGAACTCCACTGAACGGCCACGTGGGACGACAACTTCAGCAGGACTACAACTTAAGCTTGAGACTGATATCAGGAAGAGTGACAGCTTCAAAAACCACCACAGACACAGCCTGTCTGTTACGGTTTGAACAAAATATATTGGAAACCCAGCAAAGCCTGTAAGTGATTCACAACTGAACCTGTGTGGTCCTTTGAAACCCTCTGCGCCTACGATATAGCAGCCCATCAGAAAGCACCAGCCTTTAGAAACTCTTCAACGGGACACTTTAAAAAAAAAAAAGTCTTGTGTTTTATGTTTGAGAAACAACGCTTAAAGTTGACATTTCAGTTACTCTGTTACTGTGAGACTGTTTACCTTTAGTAGAGTCATAAATTCAGCCAAATTTACAAGCAGAAGTGATGACCAAGATAAATTTGGTACACTTTCACTGCAGTATGAGATCACCTTTGTGAAGGAAGTTCATAGTATCAGTCATGAGGAAGAGTAATAACATCCTTTTCGCCAGCGTTTAGTTTCCTGGAGGTTTTTCAGGAATTACGTGCTCCTGAAGTAAAGCAAACTGATGCTGTTGCATGAGAGGACATTTCAGGGAAAACTGGAGGAGGAGTAAATATTGACATTCACAGCTAGTAAAGTCTCGTATACCACTTCTGTTACACCTTCCTCTTGAGACTTAACTGCAAGGATGTTCAAATTGCTCTTCTGCATCTGAAACCCTCATAATAAAGAACTACTGGGAAACCTGTATGTGTACAACCTGATATTTACACAGCGCCATCAGTAGATCTGTGGTCCTAAAGAAGAAAAAGGAAGCGGAGCATCGCGTTTGGCATCTATTGGCCAGATAAGTAATTACTGGCACTGCTTTTTAATATCAGTTCTGAGCAATTTTTACGTTGTGGAGACAGAAAGAGGTAATATCATCATCGGACTGTGAGAACACTGAGAGATCATGCTGAGGGGCCTGTTTGAGAGGAAACCTAAACATGAGAGGCTGCAGGAGGAACCCGAAGTCAGATTTAGAGGATTGCTGGTGACAGAGAGAGACCTGGGATATCGATACATCCCACCTGGAGGTAAGAATCTCCATATAGCCATTGATGTACTTCTTAGATATATGACATACCAGACATACCAGTGGATTACATACCAGACGATCCGACCCACATCAGTGTTAAATCTAAGTGCTGATATTAGGGGTGGAAATGACTGATTAGGATGATGCTCACGACCTTTTACCTGTTTTATTTGTAGCACTTTGGTCAACATTGTTGGATGTAAAGTGCGTTATAAATAAAGATGCTATGCTATCACAGTACATCGATTTGTAATACACTAGAAGTCCACATTGCATGAAAGCATCTGTGCAACTGAAGAGTAAAAAGCACAGAAGTCAGGGTGTGTCAACTGTCATTATCATATCATTTTAACCGCACATCGATTCATCTTATTACCTCACTGATGTTTTTCCACCCACTGTGTTGAAACAGAAGTCTGTTAACTTCTCATCACCTAATCCTCATTCATTTGTTAACCACTGCCACAAAAAGTCATTAAAGCGCGACTCTGGTAAGTCAAATTTGTGAGTCCATTTGACATGCTTATGCATGATAATAAAAAGGCAGATTTTTGTTACCAGGGTACAGATAGTATAGTGCAAGAAAAAACAATACAATTTACTGCTGGACTGATAATGAGTTCTAACCAAAGCTGCAAGAAAGATTCGAAAATTTGTCAAAATCATAAAAATTAGATCATACAAGTTTTAGCTCTATATTGCTCATCAGCAACAACCAAAATTCACAAAAATCAGCTGAACAGCTGTATGTGAATAACGGGGCAACTGAACATTACAAGTGCAGATGCTAGACAGGACTCTAAATAGTCTTCCTTTTAATCATGTAGACTAAGATATGTGCCTGGATAAATAATGCCTTGCTTTGGGCAAATATCTCCTCCCTAAATATTGCCTTGTTCTTTGGTATATCTCCGTGCTTTATTTTTAGCATTGGTTGCCACTTTGTGCCAACGGTCATTCCAGGAAGTTACAGCAGCGCTGAGAGCAACATGTTTATCTAATGATAAGATTCCACGGCCCCGTCCACACAGAGGTCATGGCGCATTAGGACTGGCAGCATTACCAGCAGCTTATGATTCAGACAATGAAGAACCATTTACAGCAATATAAATTTTGGCCCTGTTTATGCAGTTTTCTGGAAGGACACCACACAAACACCATCATCCTGGAACCGCTCAGTGAATGTTGGCTTAGTCATGCTGAACTTGAGATGTTTTTCACAGCATCTGAGGTGCAGTTTGTGTGGTTGTTTTAATACCATTGTTTGTTTCTGCTACTATTGTTTTGCATAGCTCCTTTTCTGATGTTTTATCATCTTTATTCAATCATCGTAATCAAATAGAGTCATTAGGGTAGACCATTAGGTTTGCCATGTAACCACCGACTCTTTGAGTCATAACTCCTCCCCATAATTGCATTTTATCAGAGGAAACCATCATTAACTGTGTTTTGATTACTAGTTTTATATGCTGTTAAAGTTTGCTCCTTCCATGGATAAGCTTGTTAGCTCACTTTAGATTCATTCTCCATTACTGATGCTCTGACCACAGGCCAGCGTTATCACAGATCATCTTTAATGCACCCCGAGTGCATTTAAGGCTGGTGCAAAAGGTGTAATGAGGTCACTGAGCAAAGTTTATGCCAGACGCATCATTGCTCTGAGCCTTCAGGATGTTTAATAATGGCTTTGTGTCAGTAAGAAAAATGAAGCACTACAGTAAGAGGATCGAAGCAGGCACAAGGAATTCAGTGGTATCTAAACACAGCATTCCACCTGCCATTTACTAAGCCTGATGGAGGGAGACCGAGGCAGGGAGGGAGGTCTGTGTGTGCCAGCGACTTCTGAGTGTATGTATGTGTGTTTAGATTATCAGTGACAGTTGCAGCGTATCTAATCTCCGCTGGCTGATTTTGTAGTGCTGTCAGACTCTTGTCCCAGAGCCACACTCAACAATGTGTTTGTGTATGTGGGAGCCATATGTAGGTCTCGGAGTCAGCCTGATAAAATTCACTGGAGTACCTTAGCTTAGTTCCTTATATGGAATTACTAGTTCCTACTTTAATGAAGTGCATGCTGGACTCTTTGGGCACTTTTATCATGTCATCATCTTTTACATCGATATCTTGTGGATATCGATGCAGTTGTCTTTTTTTAGTGTAAACATTTCAAACGATACAGAGTCTTTGAATTGACTAATCTTCAGAAGTTTAGGTAAAATACTTTACTTCCCCTTTTGGTGTGATGGTAAAAACACTAGCAGTAAGAAAGCACAGTTCACATGGCATTAAATCACTGCAGTGTATTCAGTCAGTCAGTTTCTCCTTACATCGTGCGTTGCGGTAAAGCAGGAACGGGTCCTGGAGCTGGAAGTCCAGGTCTTTGGTGAGTGGCTCTGTCAGATTCTGCATGCTGAGCCGGTTCATAATGGTAAAACCATGCCTAGGAGAGGCCAACCTGAAATTTGAAGACAGCAGAATATAGTGTCATATTCTATGTAGTCCTGTGGAAAAACTAAGTATGTCACGTAGCTTGCAGAACCACTGTCAGCAGTAATAATAATTTCACTGTCTCACTTTATCAGTCTCTCAAATCATTGTGGAGGAATTTTGGCCCACTCTGCTTTACAGTGGAGCTTCTTTTCATTGAGGTTTCCAGGCATTCATTTATGTGCAGCTCTCTTAAGGTTCCACCACAGAATTTCAGTCATGTTGAGGTTGAGGTCTGGACTTTGACTGGGTCACTGCACCATCTTCATTAGTTTCTTTTTCAGTCATTCTGTTGCAGATTTACTGCTATGCTTGGGATTATTGCCATCTTGCGTGACCCAATTTCAGCCAAGCATTAGATGTCAAACAGATGGCCCCAGATCTGATCCTCATGGTGGGCTCAATTACGACAAGGTAACCAGGTCCTGTCACTGCAAAACAAGCCTAAATCATCAACCCTCCACCACCGTGCTCGACAGCTGGTATGATGCGTTTGTTCTGATATGCTGAGTTTGGTTTTCTCAGCTCTGTGCATCTCCACTTTTGCCTCATCTCTCAAAAGGACAGGATTCTTGTGGTTTATTCAGATGCAGCTTTGCAAACCTAAGCTGTGCTGCTATGTTCTGTTAAAAGAAAAGAGGCTTTCTCTTGGTAACCTTGCAGTTTCCCTGAGCATTGCTGCACCGCCAAAACTTTTGCTTTTGTAGAGGTCACGTTATATATTATTATAGTTTTGTATATTATCAAACTCAGTTCAGTTTTGTTACGTCCCGTTCATGCCAGCTTAACAGTTTGTAATTTAGTAAATGTGTCACAAATGACAATGATTAACAGTGTTAATATTTTCATTACCTTGTATATATAAAAAGAGTACCTTCCACTTCTGTCTTCTCCTTAAAACAAATAAGACAACATTAAAGCAACTCCATGTCATAATTGCTCAACCTTATCTCTGTTGATATTAACTTGTGCACCAGCTCGCTATTCTTTCAAAAAGAAGTCCAGTATTTCGACTTTTTGTAGGTGACGAAATAGTCAAAATAGCACATTTCAGGGAACTCTCCAAATATAATGTGAAGTAAAACATAACATAGCAACAACAATTTTTATTTTTATGGAAAATAACGTTAATAACAATAGTCTCTTACTCCTATAAGCTGAGTTAGTTTCAATCTGTCAAAGCGCGCCGAACGGGCAGTGACAAAGCTAAGTTAGCACATGATACATTCACCAACCCTCCGGCTTACCCACTCATTTGTCCTGTTGTTGTAAGTATACAGGGCAACTTGGCTCGCCAGGTCCACAATGTTATTGATGTATGGGTCTTGTCGCTGCAGAGCAGCCAGACTTATATCCAGTCCTTTAGCGGCAAGAGAGCTACTGCTACCTGCTGAAGTCGCTGTCATTGTTCCCTATGGAGACGCTAGCTTGTCAACTAGCTTTAACGGCTACCGACTCACAGTAAGAAGAGGTAAAATCCAAACAAACGGAAAGGAAAAGGGAGATAAATCGATGGCTGCACAGTATTCTATTTTTCAAGTTAAAAATTGATAGTTAAAAAACTAAGTCAAGCGCTCCCTAGCTCTAACTGCTACGAGTGAGTTTGAAAATGGCCATATTTCACCGAGATTGTAAACAACGAAGACGTGAGTAGTTGCGCAGCAGCTGCCGATTTCAGCCTTGACAATCAACGTCGAGAAATCGATGGAGCTGTCCTGCAGTCAACTGCACTGAATTTCCTATATATTTCCTTATACAAACCGTCCATGATTATATCAGTATGTACATTATGCTCTCTAGCTGCAGGTAGCATTCATTTAATTATATCTCTCTCATCAGTACAGACTATACTGACGTCAGATGAGGTAATGTTATATCAAAAGGGCTTGCTAAATTATTTATATTGTCTATATATAATAATGGTATTGTTATGTAGTGTGTGTGTGTGTGTGTGTGTGTGTGTGTGTGTGTGTGTGTGACAGAAAGAAATTATATTTTGCTGTACACTGAGAGTTCATTAGTATTTTTTTTTTTAATTTAAAGCTATCTTGTTTCATGCTACATTAATTGTGTGTGTGTCCTAAAAGTAAGCAGCTGACGTTTCTCTTTTATCATTCACCTTTCTGTTAAGTAGGGTATATTTCAGTGATGATTACTGATGGCACCATATCCTCTCTAACACCACCCTTCAAATGCACTAGGAGGCGCCAAAGGGATGGCTAAATCGGGCATCCATCCTTTCCCATTTCATCGCAAGAGCTGGACTTGATCTAAATGCAAAGGAAGAATACAAACAGGCGTATTTGTAAGAAGGCTTACATTGCAAATATATTTAATGTCTTGTTGTCTACATAAAAAGAAGAGTAGACACAAGCAGTCAAAAGCAAAACCACTTATATTCTAAAATGGACATCTATCCATCTTAAAAGATTTCCGTTTCATAAGAAAATAACCTCTGTCTCAGTGTCGAGATAGATTTTTCTTAATTGCATTTTTTTTCTGGTTCTGAGT